TCCTGATCCGTCTCATGTTCTGCAGCCGAAAAATGTTGAAATTGATGAAGCACTGACGTATGAGGAGAAACCGATAAATCTTCTAGATCGTAAAGTGAAAGAATTGAGAAACAAGCAGATTTCATTGGTAAAAGTTCTTTGGAGAAACCATGAATTGGAGGAGGCAATCTGGGAAGTTGAAAAAGAAATTCAAGAAAAATATCCAGACCTATTCTCAAATCAAGATATAATTTCGAGAACGAAATTTTCTTAAACAGGAGAAGATGTGAGGACCCAAAAATTTACTTATTTTAATATCATATTACTGGCTTATTTAAATATTTATTCACTCATTTTCTCCAAATAATTTATTTCAACCATTTTAAATCCATTTACATGGAACTGTGACTTACATATATTTTTAAAACGCCCCGTTAGTAAATTTAATTTTCGAAAGTTTGTTTAGTAAGATTTAGCGAATATGCGTTTGGAGGCAATATTCGATCAAATAGTACAGTGACCTTGGAGATTTGAGAATTCATGCGTTAGTCTTAAAATAGTTATTTTTATGATTAATTACCCTAACATTAGTTACTCATATTATCGTTACAAGAATTCCTTTTAGGTTTCGTTTTATCGCGCGCGAATTGGAAGTTCGCGTATATCGAGTCAGAGCGGTTAATTGGAGATTTAGAAAATTTATTCTAGACTACTAAGAGTGAATAATTATAATGTTAAAGGAAGTACATTAGAAGTTTAGTGCACATGTGAAACAAACCCGAGATAAAACGAACATAAAACACGCGCGTGCGCGTACTATTAAGAGTTGACTTTTAAAGGAATTCTAACCACAAATTCTTAGGCTTCTCCAAGAAGCTTCATTGATCAGCCTTCTCTCTCTCTCTCACTCACCATAGCCGGCCAACCCCAAGCAAAGGAAGAAGAGCAAAGTTCATCCCATTTCACTTCCATTTTTGCAACCTTTTCACTTCAAAATCCTTCACACAATACCTAAACAACTTGGAGAGCAACTTAATCTTGGTGGAGGACATCTTTATCACAATTTTTCTTGGGTCTTGGGGGTGCAAAATTTCTGATTCACTCAAAGGAATAGAAGGTAATCATCCAACCATCTAACCTTGGCTTTAGTGGGTTGATCTTTGCTAGGAAGCTTGTAGCTTCATTGTTATTGTAGTTGTTTGGATTTAAATGGTTGGAGTGGGCTCTATGAAATCCTACCTTGATGGTATAGGACTGATATGATGATGATGAGTGTTGTTTGTGTTAGTTATGTGATAAACAAAATGAGATTTGTTGGAAAAGTGAAAGGAAAACCGAAGGAAATTGCATAGGAAGCTTGGCCGAAATCTGCCCTGTTTTTCTCAAAGCTTTGGTTCGAATTTTTATTGCTCAAATGACCTTGAAACTGATGTAGATACGTTATATAGTGTGTAGAAAGTTTTTACCAAAAATTATTTGAATTGGTTGGATAAAAATTGAATTTTGGCAAGAACAAATCTGGAAATTCGTGTAAAAGTGGTCCTATGGCAGTGTTCTTTGAACGAACATATCTCTCTGTCCGGACATTGGAATTGAGTGTCGTCAGTGGCATTCAAAACTAGACATCCGTAGTTTTCTAGCGGTGTATAATGAACCTTCTAATTCGAATTGAGTCATCTGTAGTGATTGATCAAAGTTGGCTGCCCTATTCTGTTAGTCCAACCGAGAGGAAGTTAGAAGCTGCAACTTGTAGCTCTAATTTCTCTCATTTGTGAACTGAATTTCAAAACGATTTTTTCTGATAAAATGTAGACTTGTGAATCTAGTTTCCAATGCCTCTAACCACGCTCAATTTCAAGTTGTATTGAGTGAGATATAGCCCAATTTCCGAATTGTACCAAAGCTGGAAAACCTCAATTTTGATAGCCGAATGGCCTAGCTTGACTTGGGACATGTTGTTTCAAAAATTTTGGTGTCAAACACCTACCAAATATATATTATATGTTTCATGGACCTTAGTATCAGCAATGAACCAAATTGGAGTTGATTTCATTGGGTAAAATGTTTGAAAAGGGAAAAGGAAACAAGAAGACAGATTTGTCTTCAAAATTTCTTGAACTTTGGTATTTTTGTTAACTACCTTCCCATACGAGTTTTTTTGTGAAATTTGATAGAGGAGTAGCCCTCATATGGAAGTTGAATTATACTAGATTTGGTGTCATTTTAAGACTGTTTTGATATACAAATGATAGACCAAAGTTGTTCTACAAAATCTGAAAAATTGACCAAAAGTCTTCATTTTTGGGCCAACTTTGAGCTGCTATATTTTGGCACTCAAAACTCTGAATTTAGTTCCGTTTGTTGTGTTTGAAACTTTGTCTAGAACGCTTATTGTAATATGAATTTCAGAAGCTAGTTCACTTCCTGTGAATTTTGCCGAATTTCCAAAATTTACCAAAAAACAAGACTAAAACTATCTTGTGTGCTTATAGCAGCCATTTTGGGCTGAAATTTGAATATCTTCCATTTAGAATCTTGGAAATGTATCTTCTACGAACTTTTAGAATATTGAACCAAGATTCCAACAGTACAATGTTTTTCAATTTTGGACCTATTGAGTGCAAGATATGATTTTTCAAAATTGACAATTAAAACTGAATTTTTCCAACTTGTGTGGGAAATGAGTTTTGGAGACTCTTCCCTATCCGTTGATATTGATTGACCATTTTAAACTTGATTTCATGAAGGAAATCAGTTTTTCCTTGTGCTACTAAACCCCACTTTCGGGTCTCGATTTACGAATAATTAAGACTCTCTTTCATGATATTTTCTTAGTATTGTACAAGTGTACAATCTTCCTTGTTAATAAGGGGTTTATAAGTGATAGTACATGATCGTAAATTATTATTTGCTCAGGCACTCAAGGGAACCTTCAAGAGGATCTCGAAGCGGACACCTAAAAGTTATTGAGCACTTACCCCCCTACTTTGACTTGGTAAGTGTTAAGTGTGTGAAAAATTGCTACGTGCTTAATTGTTATTATTGATTGAGTATTTTGAATATGCCGAGTCGAGTATGTACTTTATCACACTCATTCTCGTTTAAGTGAAGTATAATTAAATTACTTGAAGTGAATTGCTTGAAGGGAATTGTCAAATGTATTAAGTGAAGTGTTGAAATGATTAAATATGCTATGGTTGCATATGTCGTTGGAGTGAATCTCCTCGACTTATAATTGAACTGGTTGCATGTCGTTGGAGTGAATCTCTTCGACTTATAACTGAACTGTGGGAACGCCCAAATCTCAATTGGCTGACCTTGCGACTCTAGTCAGCAAGGGCTTGGTCGAGGAGTTTAGTGAACCATGAGATAACTGTAAGCTTGATCTATTGAGAGATCTGGCTTGGCCTACTCGCGTAGTAGTGTTTTTTCTTGATGTTCGGGTCCGGTGCGGTATATGGTGGACGGAGTTAACGTGTACGTGGAGTTCTACGGACTTAAATGCCGACCCGGTTGACGGAGTGTCATCGCGGGGAGGTAATTGATCGAGGTTTGACAAAGCTAGTGGAACTTAGTTCCTGAGAGCTTCTGTATTCTTAACGAATGTGTTTACTTGAAAATTATGAATTGCTTGAATGCTACTGCTTTAATTCTCGCTTAATTGCTTTTACTACTTGAACTATGTGTTTTGCATGTTTTCTTGGCCTCATGAGCATCCGCTCATCCCGTAAATTTGTTTTTCTTAACAGGAACCGATATGGAGTGACACTCGAAGAAGCCATTTGGATAAACTTTTGATTAGGGATTTGAATGTATTTGACTAGACAAATTAGAAGTTGTGTATTTTGAGAAAGTGAATGTATTTTAAATCTTGTGGTTTAAGATTGAAAACTTTGTATGGAAATGACTTCTTTTCTTCACTCCGTATATTATTATTGGTGATTCTACCTTAAACTTGATTGGAACTGGATTTGTACCAAATCCTGGTGAGAGTTAGGTAGGCGTCCCGCCGATACCTTTGGGTTCGCGCTTGGGAGAAGTGGAGGCGTCACAGGGGCGGGGCGGGGGAAGGCGGGGGTGGGGGGAATTAAAATGCAATGGGGGCGGGGGTTGAGGGAGGTGTCCCCCCTACCCTTAATGCATGAAACTTTTAGGAAAGAGATGAAACTTTTATTCCATAAATACCCTTAATGCATGTATATAAGTTGTATTAGTAAAAGAATAAAAATAATTAAAAGTTAGAAACAATTAATATATACATTTTACCATTTAAAAAGTTCACATTTAATAAATGAGACAAAACAAATAAGTAACAAAACTACAAATGATTACAAGATTCAATAAAATAGAATATTCATATATTTCGACATGATGTTTGCTATTATTCTTGTAGCAGAAAAAACTTTCGAATTTTACCTTTTTTCCCCTTTAGTCTCTATTAGGTATATCAATTGATGTTATTTCGTAAATATAAGCCATCGCTCATCATTAAAGAAATTTTTAACAGTTATTGTCATTAATTAGTTACTAATACTTAATTAGTGCTCTAATTACTTAATCATTAGATATTAGTAAAGAAGAATGGAGGGAAAAGAAATGCAAAATTTGAAAATTTTTTCGATTCAAAATCACAAGAATCATAACAAACATCATGTTAAAAGAGATGACTAGTATGCTTTGTTGAATCTTGTGATCATTAGTATAGTTTTATTGCTTATTTGTGTAATTTAATTTATTAAATGTAAACTTTTTGACTGGTAAAATATGTTTTTAATTTTTAATTATTTTTTTCTTTTACTAATACAACTTATATACATGTATAAGGGGTATTTATGAAATAAAAGTTTCATCTCTCTGCTTAAAATACTTTTTTAACTGAACTAATTTTGTTATCAAACCTTAACCTCAGGGGAGGTTTGTGTAATTTGACAAACTTCAGGGGAGGCTACTGAAATTATACCTTTGTATCGTTTTTTGACTTCGTACGGCTTCAAACAAGATTGACTTCGCCATATCGCCTCAGTCCTCCCTCCAGCCTGCCTCTTTCTCCTCCTTTCCTTCCTCTCCTCTGCTCTCCAAATTTCACTGCCACCACCACCCGTGTATATGATATGAGAGCCTCCTCGTCTTCTTCGCCCTTTTATTTTTCCTTCTCTTCTCTTAGATCTCTGCCACCCATTTGCTGTTTAGTGAAGAGTCTTAAAAGAGAGAATTTTGGGGTAAAAGATTGATTTGTTATGGCTGTCTGTCTGGGCAATTTCTCATAAATTGGGTACGGGTAAGTTTTTTCTTTATTTTTTTAAAAAATAAATTGATTTGTTTATACCCTAAGAGTCTCTGAAGATCATGGTGAAAGCCGAGTCTGAACGAGTTTTCAGCGGGCCTGCCGTCTCCGGGATACGGCGGACAGGTCGCGGAACGGAGGCTGAAGACTCTACTGAGTCTTTGAACCATGCTTACATTATTTTTACCTGGGCTTTTCGTTTTCGAAAGGATTATTTATTCAAGGATTCTCATATCTCTGCTTTAACTAAATTTGTGGAGGTTATATAAAACTAGATTCTAATGCTGATCTTTTGTATATGAGAAGTTTTATGTTGTAAATTTCAGTACATTTGTCAACGAATTTTTTTGTACGCTACTTCTTTTATGAGATTTCTTGCTGATCGAGTTGTCGTGTCCAGTCTAATGCCTCTATCTGGATATTTTATTCCCTTGTGCAGAAGTGAATTTTGGGAGATTGAATGTATGTTTACTACGACTATTACATCCTATTGTCCGGGTATTCATTGGCTTACAAGGAAATTTCTCCCCTCTAATTACGTAATTAATTTGGCATGGTGTAGTGCACTTATTATACTTGACTAGTATTGATTGTATGTAGTTTAAATATAATTGTTTCAATGTTCCTAATCTATGAGATTGGTGCAGTGTTTTGGTTGGCTGAAGATACATCTACAGTTACAAAAAGCAAGTTTTTGTGTAAGATGATGCACCATTCCTTAATTTTTACTTAATGAAAGTAAAGTTTAATACTAAGCAGTATCACCATCTCTGTGTTTTTTCCACTATTTTACATGGGAAAGTAGTTTAGTCAGTGTTGGACATCATATGTACTACTCTAATCGCAATAATTGTCCAATTGCGGTACTTTTTCACATGCATAACTATCAATTAACCTTCTAATCACTAGACTCTGGACACACCTTGCACAAAATGCAAGGCCTCATTGCTAGTAGACTACTGAAAAAATGCAAGCAATAAATTGGTCAATTTATTGTACCCCATTTTGTGTACTAGGGAAAGGGAACAAACAAGACACAACAAAACTCCGGACTCTCAAAAAATTGGAGACGAAGAAGATGGAGAAGAAAAATGAAACAATCAAAAGGGCTGAGAAGTTAGTTGAAACCATGATGAAAGGAAATGACGCTTCCCATGATGCAGCTCACGCTTTCAGAGTTAGAGATTTGGCTCTCTCTCTAGCGCATGAAGAAGGGCTTCATCAGTCCTCTGACTCAATGCAGATTGTAATACACTTGTTTCCTCTTGTCAAATTCTGTTTCAGTTCTTGCTTGTGTATAATTTGGGTAACATTTTATGCTATTTGATGCTGCTTTTGAGTGAAGCTTGATTATATTTATATGATTACTAGTGGTTATGCACACCCAATGTGTGTTCTGCTAATAAAAAGATATTAAAAATGATTAGTAAATAGGTAGTTATTTAGAAATAATTCATAACCATAATTGGTAGTTGATTATATTAGGTAGTTAGTAAGGGTAGTTTAGGAAAACCATAAAGTGACAAAAATTTGTTTACACCAAAAACCCCCTCCCCCTTTATGTATAGCATAGATGTTGCTGAATGTACACTTTTTATAGTAAAATCCCGTTTCTCTTCTAGGGGCCCTGATTAATTATTGAGAAGATCAGTGTATGGAAATCAGCTCTGATTTCAGCCCTTTACCTGGAAAGTAGTGCTTCTGTTTGATTAAGTTGCTGAAGGTATACCATTTATTGCAAAATCCCCATTTTCCTTTGGGGGGCCCTGAGTAATTTTTGAGAATTGGTGCATGGGAATTAGGTCTGATTTCTGCCCTTTACCAAAGTTGGCATAATCTTTGAGAAGCTTCTCTAAAAATAAAGTCACTGATTGCACATTAAAGCACAGACTATTGAGACAAGATTTGGTCCTCAAGAAATGTCATTCTACACATGATGAGAGTGATTCACATATTTGTGGGAGGGCATATGCTTTATTTTCATTTTCTTATTTGATGGTGAACCTGTGATTGGATTTGCTTCCTTTACGACAAAAGTTTTACTCACCAAAGCCTTTTCTAACTTTGTTGAGGTTCAGGGTAATGCTATCAATTTATTGTCATGAATATAGAATCTACAATTGGTACATCAATTGTATTTTTCCTACGTAATGTAACAGCATTTTACAAAACTGGTACAAGGAATAAGTTAATTATGTTTCTATGGAGTGGCTTGGGATAGTGGTGTCGAATGTGTTTTGGTTAGTCAGTGTCCTGAAGGAGTAGTTATGTGTCTTTGTTTGCTTGCTGTAACTCTTTCTTTCTGTCTCTCTCTCACTCTCTCTCTCTCTCTCTCAGCTGGGCCATGTGCAGAGATGGACATTTTTCTGGATTTCTTCAGTTCTCATTAACGAAATATGTTGGATTATAAAATCAGTGATCAGGGATAGGAATCTGAATGGGATTTAATTCTATGCTAACTGATTCAGTCTTGCCTTTCATTCTTAAAATGAATCGTCTTTAACCAAGTTCATTAGATTGTTGGTGATAAAGTATGAAATGCATGGATTTCTCTGAGCTTTTTTGATTCTTTATTTGCTTTTATTTTATTAATATTAAAATTGGTGTGGGCAAGGAAGAATGGATCACCTTTGTTCTTTTACCACTATCCATTCAGTGTTAGAGAGCCACCTGGAAGGCGATTTTCTAGCAACTGGACCATATGTGCTGAAGGTTATAGATCTTATAAACAAGTGCAGCTTTTTGCCTGAATATTGTTGTCATCTTAGTGCTATAAGCTGGGTGTGTATTGGTATTAAGGAAATGTTGTGTTGGTCCAATATGTAAAATTATTTATTTATATAGGCATCTTCAGTTACCTCATCAGCTTTTTTTGACTATTTCCCTGTACTTAGAATGTCTTGAGAACTATTTTTGAGCCACCAACGAATGGGCAGCATGAGGTTTCTTCTACCTAATTGTCATTTGGCTTCATGAGTTTCCTTCTACAATAGGCTGCTATCAGTGCAGTGTTTTAATGAAGTCATACATGATGACAGTTTTATTTTACATAAGGTTAATCTCATTTTATTTAGATATAGACTTAAATCCAAGAGCCTAAGAGTTGAAAAACAGTAGGAGTTTGGAAATGCTCATTATGAAATTTCTCTCTTGACAAGCAATGAAATTACAGATTTTTCAGCAACAGTTTTTCATTTTGTAAGTATATACAAGTCAGCAATATTTTTAGTATGGTGCTGTTGACTAAGAACGGATCCCTGTCATGCATGTTAGCGAACTTATAAAAAAGAAAATAAATATATGAATAGGCAGCTTGAATTTGAACTATTACAGCTCTTCATATATTGCAGTGTCACTTGTATAATTTTCTCCTTGTCATGTGTTTCAATACTCCTTTACTGTTACACGCAAGTTTTTTCTAGTATCTCGTTCTCTTTATAAAAGATTATGAACTTATTACTGTTATTAACACAGAGATCTAAAAGATGTATAGGACAGACCTTGATACCTTATGATAAGAAATTGTGATTTTGGTTTTGGAGCTTTTTCTCCAAACATGATGTCATGTATGGGGGCTTCATGGAAAGGATTACCAACTCAAAATGAAGGTTAATTATATTGCATTTGGCAACTTTTTTACTTTAATAGCTCTTGATTTCTGATTTATCTAATTCTAGAAGTATCTGCTTCATAACATAAAGTTGCAAAGCCTATGGATGCCATTGGTGCAGATATGTAATTAGAAGCACCTAAAAGTGGGACAAATTGCCACACACTATGTATGTTATTATCATGTGGTTTGTTTTTGAAGGGACTTTGGATTTATGGGAATGAACACCTAATGCTTGATCTTTTGCCCATCAGCTACATTTCTCTGATATGTTTACTAACTTCCTTCTGTTTTTTGCCAAATAAACATCAAGCTGATTGTTTATTTTTCTGTCTTGTTAGGTGGAGCTGGCTGCACTTCTCCATGACATTGGTATTCACATTTTCCTCTTTCAACTTTCTGAAAGTGCTGCCTTATTGTTCAAGGAATAACTTTCTGTTTAATATCACTTCCAAAGTTCTAGTTGATTATGGTTTACCTTGATGAGTGACACCACTAAAAATACTTTGTGATATGAGATATGACCAAGCTGTGAAAAGGCATTGTCTGATAATGTTTACTTGTTTAAAGAAGTATCACTAGCTCCTTTTGTCTTCTCATTTTTCAAATGACTCCATTCCTATTGCTTAGATGTCTTTTTTAATTTCTTCGATTTCGTCCCAACTAATATACTGGTGATTCTCATTATATATTGACCTGTTAGTATTTCAAGTTCTTTCTAACATGGTGTTTGTTTATACATGTATTGCAATCTTGCTGATGAATTTGCATGTGTTAACTTCAGGGGACTACAAATACAAGAGGTTGGTATCTCTATCTTGTTATTTTCATTTGCATTTCTTTCTGCTTGCATTTTGTTTTCTCAGGTTCTAAAATTTTCTGAAATGTCCATTTAGCTTTTTTGTATGGACCGCTTTGACTCTGTTGGATTTATTATTTCAATGTTTCCTATCTTTGCTTTGTACCACTGGCATAACCTTTAGATATTTTTTTTTGGCATCTAGAGATCCATCAGAGGAGAAGATTGTTGAAGAATTTCTGGAGGGTGAGGGTGTGGACGACAGCAAGAAGATGAAGATATTAAGTATCATAAACAGAATGGGTAAAACTGTCTTTTTGTTTGTTTTAATTTTTGTTGTCTGTTTACAAAGTTTTGTTCACTTATCTTTGTGTCTTTAATTTACATAATGGGGGTACTGAAATCCAACTATTACGACATTTATTAATCTGAGTTTGCTGTCTCTTTCTAGGTGAAATGTCCTAAATCACTACTATTCGAACAAGTATTATTTTCATCCACTGGCCTCTCTTTTTTTATGACGAGGCATAATTATTTGTAACTTGTTTCCTCGACCCTTACCCAAAGTTTGTGCTTTCTATAGACCAATTTGCATTGGAGTGTTCTTCATTTTAATTTCCTTTAATCAAGACTTGATCTTTGCATGGACAGAAGAAATAGTATAGTTTCCATTGCAGATTTTTTTTAAGTATCTGTCCACATACAAATGTTGTTACTCCGGTTATAGACATGTTTTCTTTATTCTAATTTCCTTCAATCAAGAGTCAACTGCTGAACAGACAGAAGAAATAATATAGTTTCCATCACAGTTTTTCCCAAGTATCCGTCCACATACAAATGTTGTTACTCTAGCATTAGACATTTTTGCCAGGTTTTAAATAACAGAAGAATTTGAAAGCTGACTGGATATCAGTAACCCAGTACTGCATTCTTTTACTTCCAGATCCAAACAACAATGCTTTGGAATTTTAATGCTTAATGCATTATCTGCATTAAGAGTACCATGCATAGCAACTTCCTATCTGTTATACTTCCTGTACATATGGCTTGTCTTGTGATTAGAATCTTACATGCTCAAATTGCAATTGGAAACTGATCAAAATGTGATCACGTGAACAGAGCAAATTTCTGGCTGTTACTTCCTCCCGTCAGTCCAACCATGAAGAGAAAAGTTACTGGGCTGACTAAATGTATTTGACTGGTTCACATACTTGCGCCAATGAAGGTTGTTAAAAAATATTACTGTTTGTATTGTAAGATAGAAGTCCTTTAGAGAGATCGACTTTCTCCTCCTTTCTCCTAATTTTCAAGAAAGAGAACTTGAAAGAAGATGGCCTCAAATGCACTTCTAGGAGTACTTTTTTCACACTTGCAAAATGAGTGCTCACTTTTATCATGTTACTGCTGAACTTAGTGACTAAGACAGCTTTGAGTATTTCTGCTCTTGGAGGACTTAGTAAAGCAATGATATTATCTGTTGTAGTTTTTCCTTTAAATGATGTCTTTAGAGAAAATGCGATGATATTATTTCTTCTATAATACCCCATGCCTTCTTGTTTAAGCAACTAACAATATCTGGACTTCTTTTTGCCAAGAAGGCACACACTATATCAGATAAACATAGATATGCATCTTTGTGGGAGGAGATACTGTAGTATTGGGATTTTTTCCCCTGAATGCCTGCAATTTCCTTTTTGCATCTTTTCAATTAATAAGAATGGCTGGGCATCACATACTTTGTTAGTAAGACCTGATATCTGAGGCACCTTGTACTAAAGTCAACTGGTCTGGTTGATGTGTACCATGTATGAATTTTTTCGTTTAATTCCTTTGCATTTACAGGTTTTAAAGAGGAGCTTCAAGGGCTTCAAGTTGGAAATGATGCACTAGAATTTGGAGTTGTGCAAGATGCTGATCGACTTGATGCTATTGGCGCTATTGGTACTTATTTAAATTGTACAAGAGGCATCAATTAATGGGCTATATCTGAGATTTGTATAGTTTATTGTGTCTTTGTTTGGTTTAATATGTGTGTTTGGCATCGATATTGTGATGTATCTCCCTTATTATTATTATTATTCTTAGCTTGGCTCCTTTTCCTTTTCTGGTTTGGTCCGAGCTTCTGTTGGCATGTTTACTGCTGATTGGAGCCAGGTGTACATATATTCATTTTAACTCGATGATGATATGATAAAAGATATGGTAAGAGGAAAAAGTATCATCAACCTATTGAATTTCTTAATTAATTCTTCACGGGAATATAACTCCTGCAAATCATTATTGATAAATCATTCTCTTGTTGATCCTTCTAGCTAATAGTGACGGAGATATAATATCCACTTTAATGCATCCACATGAGAAACTCTAATTCTCTTTGTTAGGTATTGCTCGTTGTTTTACATTTGGAGGCAGCAGGCACAGAGTCCTGCATGACCCTAGCATTCTACCTCGATCAGATTTGTCAAGGGAGCAATACATGAAGAAAGAGGAGCAGACAACCGTGAATCATTTTCATGAGAAGCTTCTAAAATTAAAGGACTTAATGAAAACAAAGGTTGAAACATTACATTTACCTTTATGTTTCTTAATAAAGACAAGGAAAATTACCTTTATATTTCTTATAAAGACACGGTAAATTTCTTGCGAACATTTTAAACATTGCATCTCTTATTATCTTGATTGACTCTTATAATTATCTAAATTTGAGCATGTTATGCTTTTTATCATGCTTGTAACTATGCATTTCTCTTTATTTTTCTAATTTCATGGATCAAATATTGAGGTATTTACAAAGTTGAAAACTAAAGAATTGCTGTGCAAATGTCAGGCTGGGCAGAGAAGGGCTCAAAGGAGGCATAAATTCATGGAACAATTTTTGGAAGAGTTCTATGAAGAGTGGGATGGAAGAGCATGAATAAGGTCTGGTTTAAAGTTTTCCCTGTGAAATTTCTCCTTGTCTGCAATTTTTTTTTGGGGGGGAACTTTACAGTTTGAAATGCAGCACTTGAATATGTATCCAACCATAAATTCTATGAATCCTGTCTCTTTTTAAATACTAAAGGAACAAAACTAAGGCCATGTTTGATAGCCCAATTCAGCACTTAATCGATTCAGATCTTAACATGTTCAGACGCGTTTGATAACTAAAAATTGAACATCTAAATTAATTAAGTGGCATTGAATTTCCTAAGCAAAACTTGCTTCTAAAAATAAGTGATAAGCTATTTACTTATCATTGACTGTGATATACACTCGAATGTATTAGATTTAATACTTAACAATTCAATAACTTATTGGATTCAGACTTTAGATTTCAGTTTTCAGACTTCAGTTTTATCAAATGCACCCTAAGACTAAATCTTCTGGAGTTGAATAGGTATTCCTGTTGTAATGTTGGTTGTACGCTGCCTCTTTAAATGCTTCACTGCTCTTAGATGTCTTAATGCTTTTGTAGCCAAATATTGCTTGGAATGCTAATTGTTTTGCTAATTATTTTTTTCAACTGTCATAAAGTATAGCATAGGTATCAGGGGTACAAATATGATACCTCTATCTGTCTCTGCAGAAAGCAAAAAATTTTCGAAATGCTCACTGGACCAGTGGGGTGGCCAAGAGACTGTTGGATGTTGTTGGATCACTGAAATTTGTTCAAATAAAGTCAGTGTAGGAAGGAAAACTTCTGGTGAAAAGACGGTAAATTTTTTACTGCTATTGGAATAAAAGGGAGGTCTAGTCTTGTTGCTGTTGAATCGTTGATAAGGCATAATTTCTAAATAATCTATGAGGTTAATCAAGTGCTGGACTGGACTTGTATCTCTTTGTTTCTTTTGGTGGATCCACTGTTCCCATTGGTCTATGGCTTTTCTTAGATACTAGCACAAATAACAGAAACTTTTGATGATATTATGCTTATTTGGCTAATTATTCTCTTGATAGTAAAACTTGAAACAGGGTTAAGTCTTGTTCATGGTAGGTTGTGAGCTGGTCTGGCAGGCATAAAAGGAGACGTGAACAATTTATGGACTTTATGGTGATATGTATCACCCCCAATTAAAGTAAAAAAAGATGGATGTTTGGTATTTAGCAGTAGTGGTGAGACCAAACTCTGTTAGACCAAGCATTCTTAACAGTAGATTATTAATAAGAATACTGGTAGAAAGAACAAATAAATGATAATCAAATTATGAAGTCATCAATCAACATGTATAACCATTATTCATATTTCACTCCTTTTTCCTATCAGTTGTACCTTCTTACCTATCTGCCAATCCTTCTAATCCTTCATTTCTTTGACAAAATCTTTCTAATGCCACATGATATTTATCTTTTAGTGTTCCACAAACAAATCCAAAAAGAAAAAAAGAGTAAAATATAAAAACACAAGTAACACTCAATTTCTCCTGTTATTGTAATGGATACTAATTGGTCTTCAAATGCTTCTGCAATTCAGTCTGATTCCTCCTTGAAAGCCTTACTTTAAGTCCATGCTTCATGTACATGGTCAATGCCATCTTTGGTATTACTGGATGATCTTTTTCAACCTTCACGGTGTAGCGGTACAAAATGGAAGCTGCTGCAAACTTCATCTGGTAATATGCGAAATCTTTGCCTAAACATAGCCGAGGCCCTCCATTAAAAGCTGTAAATTTGTAGGCAGATTCACTCATGAACCTTCCATCTCTCAGCCATCTTTCTGGTTTATAATCTCTGCAATCTTTTCCCCATATTCCCTCCATTCGTCCCATAGTATAAATTGCATATACCACTTTTGTTCCCTTCTTTAACACTGTTCCATCTGGGAAAACGTCATCTTCAAGAACCTAAAGACACACAAACCACATCAATAAATGACGACAATCAAGACTGGGTAAAATGGAGTCTTTGAAAGTCAAAATTTTTGACGTTTTCTATTCATTTTCTAGAGAAAAGGTTCGAGATAGCATGACCATTTTGATGCATATTGTATGAGCCATCTTCATTGCTTGGTGTTTAAGATGTAATGGAAGGTATCCAGCATTCCTTTTCATATACTTGAGAACATACCAGAATTTGGACACCAAGCTAGATTGAAGTTACAAAACATTCCTTATTATTAATTGTATTTTAATACAACTAATCTCATTCTTTATTCTTTTCTCTCATCAACTAAATCATGGGCACATCTACCCCTATTTTATAGACACTAACGTGATTTTCCAAACTTTAAGGCTTCAGGTGATAGAGAATATGTTTTCAACTCTTGAAGTCAATGTATTTGATGCTATTGTTACTCTAGTAAATCATGCATTGTGTCTTACTTTAGCAACAATGACGCAAAGAAAAAAAATTACTATCTTGTTGATTGGTTTTGAATGTTGTACTCTGACTTTCATATGTTCCAATTCAATTGCTGAATCTGCAATTTGGACAAAAGAATTGGGCAAGGTGGCAAAGAGGTCAACAACCAGCAATCTCACTAAAAGCAGTAGGAAAGTAGCTGAAAAAAGATGGAGACGAGGTCGACGAACTCTTTGCAACCATAGTTTCTGCTATTTTAGATAGAAAATCTGTCTTTTTGGTCAAACTGTGGTTGTTTTCATGTTGAAACACTGTCAATTGGAAACCAAGTAATGCCAAAATGTAATTTGGCAACAAATTCTTTGATGCTTTTTCAACAATCCATTTACTGGGAAAAATTGGTCAATTCACCTCACGCTAGGTTCTGTAAGCACAAGTTAAGAAACAAGAAGTAAAAGGTTCAATAAAGTGATTATATTAGTCCATTTCCCGGTTCATAAATCGAGCTTGGCGGTTCAGATTTTGAAGAAAAAGCTTGGGTTGCAAATCTGATTGTGTATTGAAGAAGGCGGAAAGAAAAATAGGGTAACCATTTATTTATATTTCAAAAAGGAAAAAAAGGAAGAGAACCCAATTCTTAACCCTTTAAGCAAAACAAAAAGCAAATTTAAATAAAGAAAAGGAAAACATTGTAGTTACCTCCTTGTGATCCACTGGTACTGAAGGATGTAATCTGAGAGCCTCTGAAAGAGCAGCTTGTAGATATTCCATCTTCTTCACCTCCTCTGCCTTGAAGATCAAGTTATCAAGATCCTCTTTGTCTTTAGCATCTTTCCTCTCATTCACAATTTGACACATTTCGGCCAGAATTTTTTGCTCCACTTCCGGATTCCGGTTGAGCAGCCAAAAGAACCAGCTCAATGCCACTGAAGATGTGTCTCTTCCAGCTAGAATGAAATTCACACAGATATCGCGCAAGAATTTGTCCGAAAATGGGCGTTCTTGTTCATCTTTCAATCTCATAAACACAGTTAAGAGGTCTGATCTTTGTTTTTCACTTTCTGTTGGTAAAGAAAGTTCTTTCTTCCTAGTCTGAATCACTTCTTCTGCGAACTTGTCAACCTCCCTGATTGAATCATTCAGTTTCTTCTCTGTCCCAATGTTCAGAGATCTCAAAGCCCTCCAAGTTAGTGTTGGAGTGACGAATCGAAACAAGGTTGCTTCGGTTGCATCCTCGAATGCCCGAGCAAATGGTATCTCGGGCAATCCAGGGCGTAAACAACCAGGATCAACCCCGAAAGCTATCATGCAGACATTATCAAATGTTAGTCTAAGTAGAATATCCTGTAAATCAACAGGCACAGATTTTTTGACCGACTCCTCCAAGACAGGTAAGAGCCTAGAATGAACCAGCTCCAGCAATGATTCAGTGGTCATGCTTCGGAACTTGGTGGAATGGAACTCCAGGCTTGCAGTCTTCCTTTGTCGTTGCCAGATTTCATCATCTGCGCTGAATATGCCATCTCCAAGGAGATCTCTGACAGTGTTCCGAAAGTATTCCCCTTTAGGAAAATTTGAGAACTTAGTCTTGAGCAGATACTCAAGATTACGAGGATCAGATGTTACAACACAGTTAAGGTTTGTACCCCAAGGGCCTTTGAATATGAAAGTGCCGTTTTGCCGGCATACAACACCTGAAATCCACTCGTACATGTCTCCTTGAAGACCAAGGATCAAAGAAGGTAACATTCCCACGAAGGGCCAGTTTGGCAACCCTTGCCTCTTCTTTTGCCTCAGAGAATGTATAACTATGAAAACAAAAACAGCAAGTAAAAGCTCGAGCATTTGAACCTCTGCAGGCATGACGAAAAACAGACCTCCTGAAAGAAATTTTCTGGCAAAATTGCCAGCAACAAAGGAAGAAGAATAGGTGGAATTCATGCTGTTTAGATTGAAATTCATGATTTTGGGATGACAAAAGTTGCAGTTGTGCAAAAAACTGTGATAAGTTGGTTGGCAAGTCATGAGTTATATTGTGTGATTTTTGGCCTTCTTATCCCTTGCATTTCTTGCCGTGCATGAGTTACCACAGCAGATTGATTTGGTGAGCTGAAGTGTAAGTTTAGGCAACTTTTTGCATGACTGACTAAAGGAATATGGCACTTTCTTGGAAGAGGGTTTTTGTGTGGTTTTATCCCTATTGGATACTAGCCTTGGACTTGGCTTTACTTCTTCACACAGTAAATTGAAATATTTCCTTCCAATATGGGTTTCCAAGAGGCTTGAAAGTAGTTGGTGACAGTTAACCTAAGAGTAGACCACCAATTTCTACAGTCTTCAACACGTTTGCTGGTGCTTGCTTATTTGTTGCTTAGCTACATATTATTCGTAATTTGGCATTTACAAGTTTAGTAATATCATATTAAAACAAGATATAAATTTAATTAATCTTTATCTACGGTAATCAATAAGTTAATGGTGTACTGGATCTCTTATATTTTGTCTATGGTTAATACGTTTTGATATGATATAAATTAAACAAACAGTTGGCTGACGTAAATGGTAGTTTAGACTGCAACAGACGTCTAATCCAGGGCTGGTAGAATTTGGGTCAACTAACAAATATTCATTCCATTATTCCTCTGCATCTAGATTGTGATAGGGATGGTGCCGGAGGTTCCTTGTAGGTGCTGAGGATGACTATGAACAACTTATGTAAGTATTACGTGACTAAGGGTCCGTTTGTTTCGGGTGAAAATGTTTTCCAGGAAAATATTTTCCTAATTTCCCGTGTTTGGTTGCACAAAAGTTACTGAAAACATTTTCCTATGTAAAATATTTTCACTCATCTTATGGAAAACAACTTCCCTTCCAAATTTACTGAAGTTGTTTTCCGAAATGCATGCATCCTGCCTGTAGTATGTTCCAAACTTACTGAAAACATCTTGTAGTATGTTCTTTTTTTTTTTAGTGTAAACAGGAGGACTCGAACCCAAGATCTCTTCCTTACACTCCCTCCCCCGTACCACCCAACCCAACCCAACCCTCCTCCTAGTATATTCAAAATAAAAAAAAAACCTCATTCTGCTCATCCTATGCTAGTAATTAATTATGTATAATAGGGACATTCTTTTCTAAAAAAACTTCCAGCAGTGAGAGTGCAAGATATATGTCACAATAAGCATTGCATGTGATTGATATTTGACACTAAATGCCCAACAATTTGTTTATTGCTTAAGGAGATATTTTTTATTCATATATACATTTTTTCAAGATTTTTTAAAGTTAAACAATGAGATAAATTTTCTTATTTTGCATGGGAAGAAGTATGTAGTTATAATGTGTAGAAAATAAAGATAGAGATAAAAGTGAAAATATTTCAAAAGTTAAACAAACACCAGAAAAATGAAGTAAGAAAATATTTTCAATAAACTACCCAAACACCTGAAAATGACGAAAGAGAAATGATTTTCATGAAAAATTACTTCCACGGAAAATATTTTCCCAAGGAAAACATTTTACTTCCAACCAAACAGACCCTAAAGCCTTGTTTAATAACTCATTTAGTACTTAAATTTAATAAGTTCAAGCTTTAATATGTTCAGCCGTGCTTGATAATAAAATACAGAATGTCTTAATTAATAAAGTGGCTTTAAATTATTTAGGCAAATTAATCAAAATAATAAGTAATAAACTGTTTACTTATTACTTAATGCTGAATACTCTCAAATATTAAGATTTTAGTATTTAATAATTTAATAACTTAATAAATTCAGATTTCAGATTTTAAACTTTAATTTTATCAAACGCCCCTAAGTGAAAAGTTTATTGTTTATATCTTTTTTTCTTTTTCTTTTGACATGAGTACTATTAAGCCACATTATGGGGGTATCAACATTCATATATCAGTACATCTAATTAATTAAGAACGAGCCCTCGTATTGCGTTACCTCTTTTGCCATTTTTTGTAGTGCCAACTTTGCTTCTCATAATTTAGCACAAACACATGCTACTTGCAAAATTAACCATCTCATCCAAGACTAAATCCAACCTTCTCATCCAAGGTTATAAAAGTCTAAATCCAAAAAAAAAAAAAGAAGTTTTCAAAATTGATAGATTTCTTTTGATAATTAACTATCAAAATGACTCGTCACACTTTTTAACATGCGACCTTAATGCACACAATAGAATCCTTTAACAAAAACTAACAGTATATTGGTAGCTGCTGCGGATAAATTTTAGGCATAAGATTTCCTTAATATTTTAGGGTCCATGGCTTCTTTAGAAATACTGCATGCTCTTGAGTCTTCTTTACAATTTAATGGAACAGTTTTTTAGACTTTCCCCCTCTAAAGGCGGGAGGTAGTGAACTTCCAACCTAAAACTATTTACTTTGGCAAGGGTATTTTACTTAAACGCCAAAATTGCTCTCAATCAATCAACTTTATATATTTTCGTTTATTTTCCTATGATCCATTATGTGAGAACTCGAAAAAAATTATATGTATGCTATGAGTTTCTTTTATTTTAATTACTTTGATATTAGAAATATTATATATAATGAATAAATAGTTAAATTAAATGCCTAATTGAATTTATATAAAAATTGGGAATTTAGAAATATCCTAGAATGGTGTAAAAAAAAATTATATGAATCAAATAAACATATGGTATGCATATTGTAATTTGAGCCATTTGAATATATATTATATAGTTGAATAAGTTACATGACTAATTAATTTTTTTTAAAGCCAAATGTGTGAAAATCTACTAGATCGATATAAACAAAATTTTTCAAGATTTATACAAATTAGATCAAATGAAATTTTGAGTCAATGTGTGAGACAATAAAATTTCGGACACATGGCAAACAAATGAACTAAAATTAAAAGATCAAACCAATCTTGGAATGAATCTTGGAACCTAAGTAAGTAACTATGCAGTCAAACAAAATAAACTATCAGCAATTTTTACAATAGGAGCCGAGGGAGGAAAAAAAACAATTGGAGAATTTGGAACCGAATAGAAGTAAAACAATCTTCAAGAAATTTGAGCGGTGGCCTGAGTGAGCTGCTTAGTTGGTAGCACCGACTGGAACATTGACCACCGAATGAATTGTTTTCCTTTTGATCCTTAAGTCTTCTAAGCAGAGAGCTAAGTGAATATAAGAGGAGAAAGTAGCCGCCAATGGTTAGCCAAATCCAAGCGGTGACCGAGTGGAGGAAAAAGAGAAACCAACTACAAAACTTGGGCGGTGGCAGAGAGCAAGACAAAATCTGTAGCACCTCTCCTTACCAAGCTAGCATCGAGAGAAAACAGAGAGAGTGAGAAGAGAGCGAAACTGAGGAAGTGAGAGCAGGGGCTTGGTTGGTTCTTCACCAATTAACCCAGGGACAAGAAGAAATATCGCAAGGAAAGTAAGGGAGGCTGGAGCTAACACTCGAGGGAACAAAAGTTGGGAAGAGAAACTGATTACGTCTGCAATTCCTAACACTTAAGGCCAGAGGTAAGTTTTTGTGAATAATGCTTTTGTACTGAATAGAACTGAGCATATGTTAAGCTGTAATACGTCATAAAGCCTCTTAACTTCATCAAGCAAGACTGAAATGAGTATAAACTAAGGTGAACATAACAAGACAAGTGCATTCGGCAGATTGCAGGTTGGTTGGCCGAGGGAATTAAGCAGGATATGTAACCTGTTGTTGCTAACTCTGAAACTCATACTAATGAATACATGGAAGACATGTTAGTTCTTAACCTTAACAGGTAGGTGCATTGGAAGTCAGAAACTCCAGGAAGCTCAACGAAATTAGACAAAAGGGAAGCTGCTACAATCTGTTATGATACTGAAGGGAAGGAACTTAGCTTTTGGAGCAGCTTTTCTTCCAATTTCTGGTTCTATGAACTTCCACAGGTGGAACTAGGGTTGCCCTGTGGTTCAGTAACTACATTTGGCACCGTGAGTAGAGTTAAAGTGGAGCAACTAAGGAGGGAGCTGTGAATTAAAATGCTGAAGTACATCATGGCTGAGGGGAAAGGAGTCTTGATCAGCTTCTCCTTTGAGTTTAGTGCAGAAATTTTCTACGATCTGACTAACGCTATCCTATAGCTTAATAAACACGATTTGTTTATCTAGTTGGAGCATGAAATTGAAAGGAAGGATTTGAGGGAAACAATGAATGCTGGACCTGTACATTGCTAGGAAGTTGCATTTGGTTAAAACAGAACTTATTGTTGTCTTGTTGAATTTATGTGTTAATAGTACATGTTATTTGATTCAACTTCAGCAGGGACGAAATAAATACTAAGTGATCAATATTTTAACCAAGTAAAAGATGAAATGTTGTTGAAAACTATGAAGTATATTGCTAGAACGTGAGTTGACAGTTGATATAGTAATAAAGTAAAGTTCTATAATGTTTTGGAAACTTTAGGGCAACTTATTATAATTAAATATATAAGACGGTTGCTAATCACTTAATCTTGTCTTCAAGAACATTTTAAAGACCCAAGAACCTAAGGGGCGCTGGTATCGCGAAACAAAACTTAATTTACAAACAACTTAGAGTTTAGTTTAGTTAAAAGGGAATAAATGGAGTGTCTATAAGCCATAATTGATGAATATTGAATTGAGAAAGATATATTCCTGATTTAAATATTATACGAAGATACAAACCTGGGAAAAATTTATAATTCTTGGTTTGAAATGATAAAATTAATAAATTTTGAAATAAAATGTAAAATAAATATAAAATATGTTATATTTTGTATTTTAAAGTCAAAACTTGACTTTAATAGTTTAAATCATAGGGTAATAAATGATAAGTGGTCATGTATGAATTATATATTCACTTTAGTGTTATAAACTTGTCACAGGTAGTAGCTGTGAGCCAGGAATCGAACCCGAAGCTCGAGAGTAATTTATTTGGGTTTTGGTGAGTGTTTCCGAATTTATGTGTTTAACCGTTTATGTTTACTTAAGTGAAATTATGTGATAAATGTGCTTATTATGAAATATTGCTAAGTGATTTATTGTAAAATGTATCTCAATTGTCCCTCACCTTCTAAGTTGAGGGTGTACTTTATCGCACTCGACTTAGTTAAGTTTGAAGGTTGATAATTGACCAAATGTTACTGTAAGTGTGCATGAATGTAAGCCGTATGTGTACTTTACCACATCGGCTGAACTGGGCCCCAAAACCTCTGTTCAACAGACTATTCGAGCTAGCAAAGGGTTTGGTCGGATAGGATGGAAGCTTTGGGTAACTGTTCGAGTATTACCCTGAAGTTGAGAGATTATTGAACTGATTACTGAATGTAGGGGATTGTTTATTGTTTTGAAGGATATAAGGAGGTGAATTGGCGGAGTGTGCAATGATATTGAAATGAATGCACAATGATATTGAAATGAGTGTCTCATGACACTGAAATGAATGTATAATGACATTGAAATGACTCACAGGAGGAGTTCGTATCCTTTTGAAAGTGGTATCCCAGGAGGAGGTGAAGTTTGAAGGACGACCGAGTAGAGTTAGAGTGTTTTGGGAGGTCTAATGTTATATATTGATGTTAAGACCTGCATTTGTATCTCTTAATGGATAGATTTATATTTTACACTGGTTGGTGATGTACTTGGGTGATGTACTTAAGAATGAGCATTTGGATGATTTATTTTTGTAATTTGTAGTGGACAAAGCTTTTGTCTTACTAAGAAGTATTAAGAATGGATGTTGGATGATTAATGAGAAATATTATCTCTGAAGTTAATGTGAGTGAGTGAGTCCTGGTGAAAGCCAGACAGGCGGTCCGCTAACTTCTAAGGTACGCTTTAGGAGAAGACCGGGCTGTCACCCATTATGTATTAATTACTCTTATTTTCTCTCTCCAATTAAGTATTTTTTGCTAGGCTAGGGTGTCATACTCTTCTTCCTATTGTTCTCATTTATCACTTTCTCACTCACATAATAATAGATCTATTATTTTATAATTAAATAACATCATTTTTGCCTTAACCTTTTTTTTTAATCTTTTGAGTTCTATGCATTCTTGCTTTTTTATTCAATTCTAAAACTTTTATTTATTTATTTATTTTTAACAAATAGAACTTCATTAAAGTCCAACAAATTTCACACTTAAAATAATTATTATTATGATGTCATTGTAACTCAATACTTGAGCATAAAATTTTTTGACATGCAATATGCATTTTTCTTTTGAATTTTGCTTATCTGTCATGTCTCTAAGCAACTAGTACTATCAAAACTTTACCTTCTTTTCTCTTTTATACTTGTCATGTAAATCTTGACTTTTATCTTTTATTAAGTATTCATATTTATTATGTAAGGCTTGATTTCTATCAAGTATTCATATTCTCTAATAATTAGATGAAAAAAAGTTTAAATTATATTACGTTATATATCCCATGAATTGAAGGGAAAGTAAGCCTATTTTTTTTGAGATTATTTTCATTTTAAACTATTATTTACTTTGACTTAAATTACATTGTGCTTAAAAAAAGAACTTTTTGAGTAAAATTTTAAAATAAAAAATATGAGAGCATGTAGAATTAATATACGAGAAATTATTAAAGCCAAGACCAATTTAGTAAATCACATTTTGTCCCCTTAAAGAATACCCCATTTCTCAGTTTACCCCATAATCTTTAATTTTACTCACTTAACCCCCTTTAGGACAAAATTGCCCTTGCATTATTTTAATTTTTCATTTACCTTGTTTTCCTTTCTTTTATTTTTTTCTCTTTCTTCTTTATTTAATTCTTCTTTTTTCCCACAAAAATCTTCACCTTAATAATTGAAATTAAAAAAGAGGAATTGTAGAGATCTATCTTCTCCTTAATTGATTAAAAAAAATATTCAAATCACTTTCTTAAAATACAATTTTTCAGCCTCTCAATTCTTTTAATTTTGGATTTTCCTTTTTCCTTTTTAATTTCTCATTTTATTCCCAAGAAAATATCTTAAGATGAAATTTTGACCTAATTAATAATCATTAATTGAAATTTGTGACACGTGGCATCATACAAAAAATCAAAATTAGTTTTTGATGCCTTTTAAATCTTCACCCAGAAATATGCAATTACTAACTCAAAACAAAAATTTTCATTGAAATGGAATTTCTGTGGGAAAGGATGAAAGAGAGAAGCAAGAGAAAAAGAAATAAAGAAAGGAAAACAATTTCATCTTACGATATTTTCTTGAGAATAAAATGAGAAACTAGAATGGAAAGAAGAAAACTCAAAATTAAAAGAATTGAAAGGCTAAAAAAATTGTATTTTAGGAAAGTGATTTGAATATTTTTTTAATCATTTAAGGAGAAGATAGATCTCTGCAATTTCTCTTTTTTAATTTCAATCATTAGGGTGAAGATTTTTGTGGGAAAGAGGAAGAATTAAATAAAGAAAAAAGAGAAAAAGAAATAAAAGAAAGGAAAACAAGGTAAATGAAAAGTCAAAATAATGCAAGGGTAATTTTGTCCTAAAGGGGGCTAAGTGAGCAAAATTAAAGATTAGGAGGTAAACTGAAAAATGAGGTATTCTTTAAGGGGATAAAATGTGATAAACCCTAAAAATAATTGATAAACGAGAGAGAGAGAGAGAGAGAGAGAGAAGGATGTGAGTAACTGAGTAGGAAAAACTTTTATTGGAGAGAGAAGAAGAGAAGTAATTACTGTTTAATGATCTAAACAAAAATGAAGAAAAATATATGGAGTTGACTGATTAAGGATAATTTTGGCATTTGAGAAAAATTTGCTCTGAAAATATCGCCAACCATTTACTTTGCCCTTGGGTATAAGTCAATGATGCTATTTTTGTGACTCCATTAGATGGAATTAGCAAACAAACAAATAATACTTGGAAAGTGTATGCAGTTTTAAAAGTACCCTTTGAAGAAAAAGTTTGGGAAAAACAAAATTTGCATGAAAATCCAAAATTTAATCAAATTTATGAAAAAAGTCCCTAGACATGGCTGACGAGTATAGTGGATTTGCCGTGAAATCCAGCCCTTTACAAAGTTTAGCTCCATGTCATATTTAATCACATTTAAACAATGGCTACGTCATTTTTTCTATTTGGATAATAACATTATCATTTTCTAAGTCTGCACAAATGATAGAAATTATAAGTGTAGAAATTACATCAAACATACACATGCAAACAAGAGAATAGAAATTTGAAAAGTTAATAAAAATCACTCTGGGGAGCACCCAAAATACCAAGAAATAAAACATTTATAGCCTGGAGAACATCTGCTTCTAGTTATCTGATTTTACCTTCCGAATCTATTAATTGATTGTTTCAAGCCTCGATGTCAAGGTAAGTTTTGATGAAATAGTTTTAAGAAATCTCAAATTTGAAAGCCAAATATATATATATATATATATATATATATCAGATCTAATAAAAGAATTAGAAAACTAGAAAACTTTCATTAAGAATCCTTCAGAGATGAGAAAATTGTCATTAGAAAATCTTACAAGAGGAGAAAACTCTTGCCATAAACTTCTAGAAGAGAAAAAACTCTCATTAGAATTTTTAGGAGATACATTATAACAAACACACAAAAAAAAAAAAAAAGAAAGGAAAAAGAGATATAGGTAGTGGGAGGCTGAGAAAGACCCCCTAGGAATCAAGATGTTCTATTTGTCGAGGGAAAGGAAAATTAGAAAGGAGGAGGAAAATTCAAGTTTAGAGAAAGAGATTGCAATGCCAATCACGTCATTTGGGAAGTGATTATAGCATCAATTAACGATGAATCCACAAGAATACTGCGAATTAAAATTTCAAATCTTTGAAAGTTTTTCTCTAATAGGTCTAAATAATTTGACCTTAAACTTATAATTGAATTACCCAAAATTAGTTACAGCAGCATGAGCAATTTAAATAAACATTAAATTAAGATTGAAAACAAGGAAGCCAAATCAGTATTTCATTCGTCAACGGTGTTTTAAAAGACAAAGGCATTGGATAGAGTGTTCCGATCCATATTCATTTAGATAAGAGATGAAAGACCTGATAATTTTTTATTGTTTAAAAATCTAAAAATTTGAAAAACATATTGGAATACAATAAAAATTACAAAAAATATATGAAGAATACTAACAAATACAAAAATAAGAAAAGTTATGGAATTTTCTTACATTATCTTCACATGCAAATTGCAGCTCTTTTAAGATTTGAGGAACATGACCAAGATGATTATTAGCATACAAGTTACAGTCCATTTCTGTTTTTGGTGGGTAGCATAACCTCTTTTTTTTTTTTTTTTGGATGGACGAAGAATCTCCCACCATTCAATTGATTTGACTAGAAACTCTACTAACAATGAATTTACGTAGTAAAAGAAAAAGGCAAATAAAAATTTAAAACATCAAAGTGAAGCTTAAAACTGAAAGGGCAAAAAACCTCAGCGGCCACTAAACTATTTGTCAGATCATGTTTTGGCCATCAAACTATTTTTCGTCAGTAATTTGCCACTAAATAACTTAATCAGTAAATTCGTGACCATTTAGTCGATAATTACTCTTAATCTGTGAAATTAGCAGTACACGTGACAAAATACGAGGGTAATTTTATTTAACAACTATGCGACCGTATTATTCTTTTAATTTCTTTCCTCAAACAATCACCGAATGGAAAATTATATGGAGGAAAAAATAGCGACTCAATTGGGAGCCCCAAATCTTCAGCCACAAATCCAAGAAGCCGAAGAAGAAGACAAGAATGTCGAGGCGCTCTGCTAAACCTAGATGCTTCTGCAAATTAACAGCAACGACGAAAACCTCATGGACAAATTGGAACCCAGCAAGAAGATATGTGGTCTGCCCAGGACAGGCAAGATTTTTTCTGGAATGATGCCTTTACTAGAAGAAGAGTGAGCTCTGAAAGCCATCTTGCGGAGAAGCTCCCAGCCTTCGTGTGGGTTAAGAAATCTCATCCGGTGAATGAATCCTTTGTCGTCGACTGATGAAGAAGCAATCTTGTCTGCAACTCCGACATCCCGAGTGGTGAGCAGCACTCTGCTGGCGGTTGGTTTTTGAGACAAAAGTGCAATGCAGAGGCACTCCCAAGCATCGGCAGAGCAGACATCATCCAAAACAATCAAGAATCTCTTGGACTGCAGGAACTGGTAAAGCTTCTGAGCCAAGTCCAAATCTGAAAATGGGGCCATATCATCCTTGGCTCGGCAGACATGTTGCAGCAGCAAATCTTCCAAAAGTTTTCTGGTGCAGAAGTCCTTCCCCACCATAGCCCAAGCAAAGCAATCAAAATGGCGGCCACTTAAAACCTCCCATCTTGCTTTACTGTCTAATCCACTAAAAATTACCCGGCACTTTTGCCACGTGTACTGCTAATTTCACAGATTAAGAGCAATTATTGATTAAATGGTTACGGATTTACTGATTAAGTTGTTTAGTGGCCAATTACTGACGAAAAATAGTTTGATGGCCAAAACATGATCTGACAAATAGTTTAATGGCCGCTGATGTTTTTTGCCCAAACTGAAAACACATTCTTAAGAGCAAAAAACTCATCCAAACGCCTATGTTTTTGCCACATGAATGCCCAATAGCATGGGGTGAGCAGCCAACAACAGTTATCTTAGGTCAATAGCCTGTGGCATTTTAGGAACTCGCCCCAAACTTGCCTCGAACAAGCCTTTTAATACGTTATCTGCCAAAGCTGAAAATAATGCCTCCTGTGGTGATGACTTTTCACAATAGGGA